TTTAAAATACAAATAGTACATTACCAATAGTATTTTGAATTGGGGGAGGAAAGTAGGCTCGCATCTTGAAACCAAAAACATACCTAAGCCGTTAATTGGACGGCAGGCGTTGATTTGCAGACCCAATATAAACAATTAGCAGAGACCAATTTTTGTTACAAGAAAACTGTCCTAAACATTCTTGAATTGAATAAAAAAAGAGTTCGAAGCATTCAATCCAAAAGCTCTCTTCATCGCTTTTAAAACAGGGCTGAAACTAAGATGGAAAAGAAAAGCTGGCAGCAAAACTCATTCATTTATTGCTGGTTTTTGAAAGGAATAAAAGAAGCTCTTATTATTATTAATTGCAGACTATTTATCTCGGATTACTTTATTTTGGGTAAAAAGCAGTACTATGTTGCAACTGATAAAAAATCCTAGCTGTAAGTAATTCGTAAAAGTTGTAATAGGACCATTTTTCCTGAGTACGACGTATTTATACATCATTGCCTGATTTTAATTCCGCACCCTTTGAGGAATTTTTAAAAATAAATTCCACACTTAACTGGTCAAATTCAAACATATAAATCTCTAATAAGTCGTTATTTTTAGTGAATAATGTAATCTATTCCGTTATCAAGCATCTTTTGTCATCTAGTTTGCAGATTTTAATGCAGGACCAATAAAAATTAATTATATTTTAAGCAAATTACCAGGGATCATTTATGATATCAACCATATTAAACACTTTTTTGTCATTAAGAAAATGCTGCCTCTATAAATGGAAATGCTGTGGCGCAATACCGGGCAAGTTTGGTGGGTGAGGCATTACCTTCAACCCTATTTATTTTTTTTTTCTTGAGTTGGTGTAAGAGACGAAGAAATCAAAATTACAGGATTTGAACTAAGAACATCACTCTTGACATTTACGAACGTCTAATGCACTTCGAAGCAACTCGTCGGTGAGATTTTTACTCCGGACACAGCTCAAAATGCTAGTTTACGAAAATGAGAGCAGCTCAAATAGGACCATATCAATTCTCAAACTGGGACTTATCATGTAAGAGAAGTTCGAAAAACAAAATCAAATTTTATGTTCATTTCATTAAACATACATTTTCAGATGTGTCCATTTTCTTAAACACGCATACTGTGTCCAAAATATAAAGGTCATCGACAAACTGTTGCGTTACTATCCATGTGAAAATCAAGAATCATTCAATACCTTATATAGTTTTTGTCTCACGAAAATGTGAAAAAAATAGGAGCAAATTATTTTCGAATAAATAAGTCACTATAACCGTAAAATGTGACACAATCAGTTGATAAAGGATCAATGATAAAGGAACAACGAAGTGCACCGAAACATTACTTTTTGGTCCCCTTCATATTTCGTATAAGATTCAGATAGTTATTTAAAGTTTCATTTATATTTTTAATTCCATATATACATTCAGGAAATTGAACTCTACCTAGAGCATCCCAGAACAATCAAGACGAAAAAATGAGCAAGCTTCCTAAATATAGAGAGCTAACAAAAACCGAAGTTTTATTTTAAAATGAAGGGAAAAAATGCTTTTGATTCAACTATGGATCAATGGCTGTCAACTTAAGTTTATTTATTTTTCTCAAAAAATAATCCGCGCAAATTCAGCACAAGCGAAAAACAGAGTTATAACAAAGTTAAGGGAGTTCGGTTACTCCCCCCCCCCATTTTTTGGCGATGTGAAGAGGCGAGATCCTTTTCAATCAATAAAGTATTGTTTAAAATGTTTGTCTTGTTTATTTTTTAAATCGATCTTTTATTTCAGAAAAACGGGGATGTAATAAAAACTATTAAATATTTACTATTATTTCAGTGAAATTTACTTCATATCCTTTAAAAAGAATTAATTACTTTGCATAAAAAGCAATTTTAAAGAATTATTAACGGACATAATTGCATACCAATTATATATATATATA